AGAAAATATCAAGCGGGAGCCGATGTTGTTGTAAACCAGGGGCCAAAACACACCACTCTGAAACCCAAAACCTTCCCTGATACAAAACCGCGTGCGAGCCCCAGGAAGGGCACTCCAGGTTTCATAATAAAAGGGAGGGGGTCTGGACCCTCCAAGACAAGCCATTTCAGACCCCCCCCGTGGGAGAACCCTCCAAAACATCGTCCCCAGACCCCCCCAGGCCCTCCAAGATAGCCTGGAAGAGACCCCCCCCGAAATGAGACCCCCCTCCCTTTATTACGAACTCTGGAGTACTTCAACTGAAAAACACCATGTGCCCCGGAGCGGGGCACATGGTGTCGCTGACGAGCGCAGCAAGCCGATCCACTGATACGCTGTACTATATAATGGTAGTGGGTGCGCACTGCATTGCCACAATGCCCTTGACGGCACTCTCAGCACTACTACTGGCACCACTGAGGATTCCTAGCAAAATGAGATCGGACAACCACGGAAGCAAGGGACCCTGCATAGGGCAGCCTTTCGCTGGAGTCGAAAGGAATCCTTCCTCAGGCATCCTCGCATTGGCATCCTGCCACTGGATTCCTTGCTAAGGAAGCCCCCATAAGAATTTCTTACTAAAGATCACATCAAAGAACCTCACAATGCACTCCTCAACAAAGAATCCTTAATAAAGAACCCTTACAGTGGACCCCATTTACTAAGGCATCATGAAAATGCAAAAAAACAAATCATCATGAAGAACCGTTCCACATGGCGCCTTTCTAATCAGGAATATGTACTAAGGAACCCTCACACTGGATTCCTTGGCACGAACCCTTGATAGTGAATACATGCCATGGATTCCTTAGTAAGGTGAGCTCCTCAATAAGGACTCCTCCACAAGGAGTCCAGACACAAGAATCCTCACAAAGGCATCATCACAATGAGATTCGTAGAAGGACTCCTTAGTACATACGGAACCCTTAAATTGGACGCCTTGATAACGAATCCTTAACAAGGATTCCTAAGAATGGGCTCCGCAAGAAGGAATTATCAAGGAATCCACACGATGGACTCCTACTTCAGGAAGGCCTGTATCCAGGATTCCGTACAGAGCATTCCATAAAAAGAAATCCTTGAGAAGGAACCCTTACAAACAGAATGTTTAACTGGCAGGAAAGCAGTCCTCTTCGTGGGACATTGTTGGTAGGGGATCCGCAATAAGAAACCATTAACATGGACTCATGGCTGAGGAATCCTTTTACAACGCATGTTTATACTCGACTATATAAAAAGGGCTCCTTCAGTGGGAGCCCTTACAGCGGACGCTTCAATAGTAACGAATCCTGTGCAAGAGGATGCTGAACCCTCCTTACTAAAGCACCCTCGCACTGGAATCCTTCAGGAGAAATCCACGAAAAAAGAAGCCCTTCGTTGAAATCCTCAATACAAAAATCCTTACCGTGGACTCCACCAAACGGAATGCTTACAATGGACTCTGGGATACGACTTCCTCACATTACCAAGTACCCGTTCGCACGAAATCCTCACAAACAAATCCTCAGTCGAACCCCCCAAGAAAAAATCCCTACAACGAAATTCCAAAAGGGCCCCGCGTTGTCCATTTTGGACCACAACAATCAGCACTAATAAACCCGCCGCGTATCACACTGCGGGTATTACTATATATATATGTGTATCCGACCGACGATATCCCCACTGATCCCACAACCGACCCTATCACAAGTCAAGGCATACATCCCGGGCTGTGCACTGCTGCACATCACTCTGCTGGTCGAACAACACAACAAGCACAACTACGCCCGACATCACCAAGACGGCCGGTGGGCGGGCGGCGGCCGGGTTGTCCCGCCTTTAGGGTGACGAAATCTATACATATCCACTGCTCCCAGGCCAGGCCCATCCTCAACCCCGCAGCGGTGTATACGCCACGCCCTCCTGGCTTGGCCAGGAGGGCGCATACACAGCTCCTGGGTTCAAGATGGGCATGGTCAGGGAGCAGTGGATATGTATAGATTTCGTCGCCCGAGCCTTGGTGCCCCGTCGCTGTCCGCCTCTCCCCCGCGATGGGCGGGCGGTGGCCGGGTTGTCCCGCCGTGGTGTCCCGTCGGTGTCCCGTTGGTGTCCCGTTGGCCGTCCCGTAGCTGCCCCGTCGCCGTCCCGTCGCTGTCCCGTCGGTGTCCCGTCGGTGTCCCGTCGGTGTGCCCCCCGTGCCCCGTCGGTGTCCCGTGGGTGTCCCGTCGGTGTCCCGTCGGTGTCCCGTCGGTGTCCCGTCGGTGTCCCGTGGTGAGATCGATAGTGAGGCCTTCAGTGAGATCGATAGTGAGATCGAGCGAGTAAGATCGATATCAAGACCGAGGGTGAAATCGAGGGTGAGATCGAAGGTGAGATCGATGTCTGCCCCGATGGTGTCCCGATGGTGCCCCGTCGGTGTGCCGTCGGTATCCCGTCGGTGTCCTGCGGGGCTCCCGTCAGTGTCCTGTCCTGTGGTGTCCCGTGGTGAGATCGATGGTGAGGTCGATAGTGAGACCGATAGAAAAATCGATAGTGAGATCGGTAGTGAAACGGATGTTGAGATCGATTGTGAAATCGATCGCGTAAGACAGATAGTGAGATCGATCGAGTGAGATCAATAGTGAGTTTGAGCGAGAAAGATCGAAAGTGAGATCGATTGGTGTCCCGATGGTGTGCCGATGGTGTCCCGTGGTGTCCCGTCGGTGTCCCGTCGGTGTCCCGTCGGTGTCCCGTCGGTGTCCCGCGGGTGTCCCGTCGGTATCCCTTCGGTGTCCCGTTGGAGTCCAATCGGTGTCACGTGGTGTCCCGTGGTGAGATCGATAGTGGGGCCGATAAAAAGATCGATAGTGAGATCGACAGTCGGATCGATAGTGAGATCGTGGAGGGACCACTAGTGAGATCTAGAGTGAGACTTAAAGTAAAATCGATCGAGTGAGAGCTATGGTGGGATCGATCGAGTGAGATCAATAGCGAGATCTAAAGAAAGATCGAAAATGAGATCAATGATGAGATCGCTTATGACCTAATAGTCTCCGGATTGGTGTCCCGATGCGTGACCCGATTGGTGTCCCGATTGGTGTCCCGATTGGTGTCCTGATGGTGTCCTGGTGGTGTTTCGATGATGTCTCGGTGGTGTCCTGGTGGTGTCCTGACGCGTGCCCCAAGTGGTGTTCCGATGGTGTCCCGATTGGTGTCCCGATTGGTGTCATGACGGTGTCCTGGTGAAGTTTCGATGGTGTCTAGATGGTGTCCTGGTGGTGTCCATATTCAAACTTTGGGAGGGGATCGCAAAGAACCCGGTACGCCAAATTTTCAATGCCAGCATCACCGGCCACGGGATCGACTGTGATATTGAGCAAATGATGTCATATGATGTCCCGTCGGTGTCCCGTCGGTTCCCGTCGGTTCCCGTCGGTTCCCGTCGGTTCCCTTCGGTTCCCGTCGGTGTCCCGATTGGTGTGCGTTGGTGTCCCGATTGATGTCCCGATTAGAGTCCCGACTGATGTCATCGTGGTGTCCGATAGACACACAAATTTGGCCAGGCGACTTCACTTGTGGCCGCGAGCGTCCCGAGGCAAAATAAATAGCACCACGTGCGGGGGGGATGGGGAAGCCCGAATTCGAAGCTTCGGGCAAGGTCGATACTGCGATAGGTAGTAAGATCGAGAGTGAGTTCGATAGTGGTACCAGTAGTGAGACCGATCGAGTGGGATCGATGGTGAGGTCTCGATGGCGAGGTCAATCGAGGTGGGATCGATTATGAAACCACTTCGCAACGCAGCTTCGTCACCATGCGTCGTCGCCAAGTCGAGGGCGCATCACCAGCATCGTCATCATCACCACCATCGCAGTTGTTGTCAGTTGGTTCTTTCTCCCCCCCACAAGCCTCCTTATCACGCGAAGGGTGGTCGTAAAGGTATGGTCAACGAGGAGGGCGAAGATAAGGAAAAGCAAGGCGAAGAGGACGATGATGCTGATGCTGATGATGATGACGATGATGACGATGATGACGATGATGACGATGATGGCGATGCCGATGCCGATGCCGATGACGATGACGATGACGATGATGATGATGCTTATGCGGGTGCTGCTGCTGCTGATACTGATGCGGATGATGCTAATAATGATGGTGGAGATGGTTCTCGTAGTGGCAGTGAAAAAAACGACTACAAACTTCTGATACTGATGAGAGCAAGGAGAAAAATAAGAAAACTAATAAGAAAGATGCTGATGACGATGATGCTGAGCATGATGATTATGAGGATTATGATGATGATGTTGGCGATGATGCTGGCGATGGGGGGGATGATAATGGCGATGCTGATGCTATGTGATGCTGTTGATGGTGATGATGACGGTGGTGGTAATGGTGATAATGATGTTGACGATGATGGTGATGGTGATGATGATGATGATGATGATGACGATAATGATGATGGCCGTGATCGTCATCATCTTCACCATTGCCACGATGGTGATCTTAGTCGTAGTCATGAACATGATCATGATGATGACGAAAATAGGCCGAGGATGAAGCTGAAGGATCACTAGGATGAGGACAACCATGAGCAGGAGGACAAGCACCAGCTAAAAACAATGGATTATCGTATGCGTAACGAAGAAAATGAGCACAGGCGGCCACGGGACGGCAAAGAACAACCAACGGGACCACCACTACAAGCACCACCACCAGCATATGACCAGAGGGACTGGAGCAGCATTCCGACCTAAACAAAAATCGGTCCCGAGAACCCCTCCTGGGGTCCATCCTGTCCGGTTTCTCAGATCGCGTCCGACTGTGGCAACAATGAGGACCCCCCAAGGCAAAAAACGAGAAACGAGGAGGCGGGGGAGGAGGGCGACGACGACAACGACCTCCTCCAACCTGCTGCTCTTCCCCATGCCCATCCCAAAGTCTAACCTGGCCCGTGGTTCGACGACAAAGAACAAGAGCAAGGATGGTCCACGGCCATGCGAGCCTCGGCGCCGGCGGCCGCCATCCCGATAGAGGCGGGCAAACCAAAACATGTACGTAACTCTTGAACCGAAAGCGCCGAACGTCCGTCCTTCTGTTATTTTTTTTCCGACCCGGGCCTCCCCCACCTCTACTCCTCCTCCTCCTCCTCCTTCTCCTCCTCCTCTTCCGCCTCCTCCTCCTCCTCCTTCTTTTTTTGAACAAGACTAACCTTAGCGTGAAACTCTGGCGTGAAAATAAGCACGGAGGAGTAGAGAAACCACTCAGCTCGAAAGACACCCGGCGGGCGCCGCGGAACATCAACGAGCAAAAAGAACGGAGAAAAATATAAACAAGATCAGGCCGCCCAGCAGGTGCTCCGTGTGGGCGCTCACCTTAGTGAATAGAACCTTGGGTTTGATTGGTGGCGCCGTTTCGGTTCGTAGAGCGGTGAACGGTATACAAGGAGCTGCATGCATGCAGGCGAGCATCATCCCAGCATGTACCTTAGGGTAGCACAGGCAGTACGAAGCGTGAAACCATGAAGAACAAGTCTCGTCTTTGAGGTACACGCTGCGTGGACAAGAATGCCAGCTCAGTAGTTGCAACATCGGGCACGTGGGCAGATTGCTCACGTGTCCTCCGCTGTGGACCCCCCCCCGACAAAAAAAAACATGCTAGAAAAATGATACCGCTTTTGTTGGGGCAAGTCTAAGCACTGGTGCGCAAGAAAAACGCGGCGCTCGGGCGCCAAATGGTCGGGGTTGCCGCGATGTAAGTCGGCTGTCTTCTTCAGACGATGTAGCCTCAGCCTAGGAAAAACTTTACCGCCTGTCTGACCAAAAGTGTTGCCTAGCATTGCTGAAGATTACTGTACTGCGCGTGTTCAGTATTCCACAGTGGGAGTGACAGGTCATTCCCCAACTGACGTGCCAAAACGGCAGCTCACCGTAGCTAGTACATTGTCAGCTGGAACAAGAAAATGCGCAGCCAGATTAGCCAGGTACGAGAGCTTGCATTGTGGCCTGATGCTATAGGCTGTATTACGACAGGTATTGCGAGCTGCTCATGCTGTAGCGGAGTGCACCAAATGCAATCCTGAGCTACGCTGAGCAAACTTATGTGAAAAACTGTGCGATCTTGGGGCCGCGACCCAGGGTTTTGCAGGGTAACCCCACACCTGCAGAAGCCGCACACACACCTCCCCCACCGCCATAAAGCCTGGAAGACATCCCACTCCTGCATAGCATGTGCCATCTAGGCAGACTGCGGTGCGCAGAAAAAATGCACCGATTGCGAATGAGGATGGAGATATGATCTGCGCAGAGCCTGAAGCCCTGGAAGCAGCCTGCAGCAACTAACCACAGAAAGCCCAGAAAAAACCAAGAACATGGATCGGTGCATGCACAGACTGGTTCTGTTTGCTCGCGTAAATGTGTACACTGATGCTTGCGCCGAGCTTCGAAATGATCTGAGGCCAAGTCTAGCCTGCAGGCTGACCTGTCTGGGTCAAATGGGCATGCGGTGCTGGCCGTGACGATATAAACCTATGTATATAGCAACTGTCTCCTCGGAGAAGTGACTGCTTGCCTGTAGCTGTGGTGAGCAGCTGCGCCGCTAAGCCTGAAGACACAGGCTTGCAGGTCCTCCGCAATTCCCCCCCCCCCAAAGAAAAAACTCCGCGGTCACATAAGTTGCACGCAGCAGAAAACGTTAAAGCATGGCGGATCCAGGGTTGTCGCCCAACGTTTTTTCCCAGACAGGGCATAGGCCCAGGGTTCCCATGTAGCTGTTTACCCCTGTACCCGACGGCTCTAAGGCGAAGAGGTGAAGTGTGAATTTGCAATTGCACAAACGCGTTTGTCGCGCGCTCGAGGACAGTTTGCCCCCATTCTCGGATCCTCGATAAATCATAACGTCCGCAGACCACCGCCGACTCTTCGCAAAAGAAGATGCGGCGCGTTTTACGAAGAACTCCTGAGGAATAACGAAGTCTGGAGCCCGACCAATTCACAAACCAAAAACATGGAGAAAAACAAAAAACAACAAAAACACAGACACACACACACACACACACACACACACACACAAAAACAAAAACAATAGAAAACGCCCGGAAGGTATCTCACACAATGGCCCCGAGCTGGAAACACGCGTTTCCATGTTCAGGCCATCCAGATGGGTACCTAACATGGTGGTCCCGAGCTGGAACCACGTGTTTGCACGTGTCTGAGGGGTAGTGGGGGGCATCTAACAATATGGTCCCCAGCTGGAAACACGTGTTTCACGCGACCAGGCCACACAAAGGGGGGGTATCTCACATGGTGGTCCCGAGCCGGAACCATGTGCGTTCACGCGTCCAGGCCATGCAGGGTGGCATGAAGCAGTGGTTGTCCCAAGCTGGAACCACGTGTTTCTACATATCCACGCCACCCAGTATGATATCCTATATGATTGTCCCGAGCAAGGACAACGTGCGTTAACTCGTCCAGGCCACCCAAGGGTGTATACAACATGGTTGTCCCGAGCTGGGACCACGTGTTTCTACGTGTCCAGATCACCGGAGATCTGACATGGTTGTCTCGAGCACAGACCACATGTTTTAACGTGTCCAAGTCACCCGGGGATGCATCCAACCTGGTTGTCCAGAGCTGGATCCACGTGCTGTTGGGAACTGGCGGTAAGCCGTCAACCTTGGTTACCGCCGGGAACTCGTAGAGCTTCCTCGTGGGATGCGGGCGCGGCAATCTCGCATTCCGCGCGCGAGGGCGCGGTTTCATGGAGGAGGACGTGGAGAAGAAGGAGGAACGAGGAGGGAAAGGAGATGGAGGAGGCTGAGGAAGAGAAGGAGGAGGAGCAAAAGGAGCAGGCGGAGGAGAAGCAGGGGGCGGAGGAAGAGCAGGATGACGAGCAGGAGGGGGAAGGGTGGAAAGGGAGAAGAGGAACGATGATGATGATGAAGAGGAGGAAGATGAGGAGACGGAGGAAGAGTAGGAGCAGGAGGAGAAAGAGGATGAGCAGATGAGAAAGGAAGAGGAGGAGAAAGAGCAGAAGGAAGAGGACGAGAAGCAGGCGTGCAAATAGTTGTTTTGTTCCAGCTCTGGTAGCAAACCGATTTCAAACATGTTGATACTTGCAACGAGCGCTCCTGATGATCTTCGTACAATTGCTGCGCCGAACAGCTCTAATCTCATCTGCAGCTCGAGCTACATCGAGAAAAGCATCGTCATATCTGGAGTAATTACTAAGAGTACGAAAAGTGGTTTGGCCCCAGCTCTGGAAGCAGACCGAGTTCGGGCATCTAGATAATTTCGACTAGGCCGTTTGGAGATGCCCTTCCGATTGCTGTACCAAACAGCTCTGTAGCGCATCTGCAGCTCGAGATATCTCAAGAAAATCATCATAGTCTCTTATAAACACTTAGCAGCATACGAATCACATTCTCCCAGAAAGTTGAGCATACGAATAGTTGTTCGAACCCAGCTCTGGTAATAGACCAAGTTCGGGCATCTAGATGCTCGAGACTAGCGCTTCTGATGATTGCCCTTCGATTGCTGTGCCAAACAGCTCTACGGCTCATTTGCAGCTCAAGTTAAGTCAAGGAACTCATCATCATCTCTTGAACATTTGCAGAGCGCAAGCAGGTTTTCGAACCGAGCTCTGGTAGCAGACCGAGTTCGGGCACCTATATACTTTAGACTAGCGCTTATGATGCTTCCCTGACGATTGCGATGCCGAACAGCTCTGCACCTCATCTGCAGCTCGAGTTGAGTCCAAAAACTCATCATCTTCTCTAAAAAATGAAAAGAGTACGCATGGGTTTTCGGACCCAGCTCTGGTAGCAGACCGAGTTCGGACATCTGGATACTTGAGACTAACGCGCCTCATGATTCCTAAAAAAACTAGCAGAGTACTAACAGTATTATCGGACACAGCTCTGGTAGCAGACCGAGTTCGGGCATCTAGATACTCGAGACTAGCGCTTCTGATGGATTTCTTCCGATCACTGTGTCGAACCGCTCTGTAGCTCATCTGCAGCTCGAGCTACATCAAAAAACTCATCGTCATCTCTAGATAAATTAGCAGAGTACGAAAGGTTTTTCACACCCAGGTAGCAGACCGATTTCGGGCATCTAGATACTTGAGACTAGCGTTTCTGATGCTTCTCTTTCGACTCCTGTGCCGAACAGCTCTTGAGCTCATCTGCAGCTCGAGCTACATCAAGAAACTCATCATCATCTCTGAAAAGATTGACAGAGTACACGTAGGTTTTCGGACTCAGCTCTGGCAGCAGACCGAGTTCGGACATCTGGATACTTGAGACTAACGCGCCTCATGATTCCGAATGCATTAGGTGCGCCTGCTAGCTCTGTAGCTCTTCTACAGCTCGAGTTAACTTCAGAGAACCGACAGCACCTGCCAAGATGACACTCAACAGCCGATCCCACCTGAGTGCTTTTTGACAGTAATATCTACCCAATCTACCTGAGATTGAGATGGCGAGCGGGAGTAAGATCGAAAATGAGAGGAAAAATACAGGAGCTCTAACGAATATTCAAATTTCGAGAAATCGAATTTAAACCGAGCAAGATGACGCGAAACATCCGTCGAGATTTTTCTGCCAACTAGCCCCCCAGCGAGCCGGAATTACCCTCTAGCGTCGCCGCTTCGCTCTTGGGGAAGCTCTTCGAGTCATTACGTGTCCTCGCCACCCAGATGGGCATTTTACATTATTGCCCAGAAGTAGAACCAGGCGTCGTGACAGACTGCCCAGGAGGTACCTAGCATGACGTCAGGCCCAACGTCAAGCCATCGGAAAACGCACAGAAGGCCGGAAAGCGCTAGCACGAACACATATGTTAATCCAGAAACTGGGAGCCGGCGGCAAGCCGTCAATCTTGGTTACCGCCGGGAACTCGTAGAGCACCCTTGCGATGCACATGAGTGGGACGCGGGCGCGGCAATCTCGCATTCCGCTCGCGCGAGGGCGCGGTTTCATGGAGGAAGACGCAGAGGAGAAGACGGAGTGCGGAGAAGAAGGAGATGGAGGAGGCTGAGGAAGAGAAGGAGGAGGAGGAGAAGGAGCAGGAGGAGGATCACGAAGGTGAGGGAGCAGGAGGAGGA